CTGCCGAGTTGAAGCATTTACCTGGCAGAAGGACATTAGCGACAAAGACAAGGAAGATTGGGATGGTCATTTCTGGCATATTAGCCGTCGTCAGCTAGTCATACTCAACTCGAGTGACGCCCCAGAAATTTGTGCTCCGCTCGAGTTTCGAACCCGCGACCTTGTTAGTCAGAAGCCCAACAATAAACACTGCGCCACCGGGGTAACACTTGAGTTGGGTATGACTACCTGACGACAGCTAATAAGTCAGAAAGGGCCATCCTAATCTCCCTTGTCTTTGTCGGTAATGCCCTGCTGCCTATATCGATAAGAAGGGCCTAATACTCGCGCCGTCCTCGAGGCCATATAACAAAGAGGGAACACACGAGACCGCCGCTGACTAGGTTCTGAGGTCACGCATGATAAGGGCCACGGAAAGACACATTCACGTGCGCATTTTACCGAGGGCGCGACCGGTCACCTGAGGACACGATGGCTATAGGCATGACGACTGCCTGCAGAGGCCACTCGTGGAGAGCCAATAGGGAACAATGACTACTGGCCATTAGATATGCTGTCACCACTGAAGGCGGCACTCTGTTGCTGGAGACGCTGCCGACGACCCGACATACTGCTGTTACCGACCAGGGACACGGCTGCTAGAGACACGGAACGCTGTTGGCCGAGAAGAGGACAGAACACAAGCTGCTGGCGAACACAGTTATAAGAGAGGCGACGCAGGTGAGATCAACCAAGGCTATAACAATGTCATTAGCCGCCTTGCGGCGTAGGCTCGGGTATGAGCTCCAAGTACACCATGGACGGACAAGTCTGTCCCCCTAACTGATTGGTGTGCGTCTAACTGTCAGCGAATTTACCTGACCCTGGTAGCCTAAAAGCGCATCAGATTACAAGAAGAAATTGAATGCTGGATGGGCTTCGAGGTAATTGCCTCCCTTTCCCTTAATAGCAATGGAAAGGTGAAGTCAAGTGGTGGGAGACAAGGTTGAGCGGGCTGCTTGACGGTTTTATGACAAATGATTAGGACTGGAGCAGTACCGCATGTTAGATACGAGTTAGTGGCTTGAGCGTCTTCGTCTTTGCTCAGCAGTGAAGACCACGCAAAGTTTTCGTCGTAACCAATGAGGGTTTCATCAGGGTAGGGGATGTGTTGACCAGCTCTTCATTCTGCTACTGGAATACCGACACCAAAATCGACAGAGCACCACAACCTGTTTCATTGACTTAAAGACCGCCCTTGATTCCATCGACAGAGAAGCCTTGTGGCAAATCTTGCTTGCTGGCGGTCTCCTAATAGAATTGCCTACTGTAACACAAAATCAGCCCGAGTAAGAGCCCTTCGTGAAGAATCAGATTCTTTCCCACTGACG